CACACACACACACACACACACACACACACACACACACACACACACACACACACACGCACGCACGAACAACTGTGTCTCTGCGAACCCGGCGGAGAAACGTCGGAATAATTTCTCGTCTCTACAGCGTATGTCTGTGTGTGTGTGTGTTTGTGTGTGTGTGTGTGTCAATCTCTGTCCCGTGTCCGAGCCCGTGCATCCTACTATCAGCGCTTGCGCTCCCTCCGTATTACTTATTGACAAGTTCTGCGTCTGTGCCTCCACTCAGAATCTCGCGCGTCTCATTCGAGCGTCCGCCCCCGCGGCTAACACGGGCTCCCCGGACATGCTGGCGCACGACAGGGAACTCGTCTGCCAGGTTCTTTCTCCATCTTCAGGCTCCTGTCACAGACTTCAAGCTCTAACTTGCAATCACTTACTCATTCACCTGCAGTACTTAAAAAAAAGCGTCATTAACGAACTGCCCACCTCGCGCGAAGCCAGTAGCAAGAGAAGAAGCCAGCCACCGGCGGTAGCTCAAGTCCGCGTGGTCGACAAACTTGGCTCGCAGTTCGGCCGTCTGTCTGTAAGGCTGCTGCCTTCCGCTCCGTCCCGCGATGCATTCGAAAAAATTCCACATCTTCACACGTGTCGTGTCGTGGGGTCCTTTGGACGCGCGCCCTGCACTTCAGGGGCAACTACCTCGGGAAGAACCACGGCAACTGACCTTCGACAGTACGCTGCGCTGCAGGGTCTGCTAAGCTGCCACGATCGTCCGCACCGAGCTGGCAAGAGACAAGACGGTACAAAGGCGCAGGAGCGCGCGGGAACTACGAGGAGAGGCCCGAGATATTTGATGATGGCGCGGTCGCCCGTAGACACGTCACACCATTGGCGATTACGAACGGGAGACAAAACCATGAGAGAGAGGAGAGGCCGCAAGAACCGCCGGCCGAAAGGGGGAGTGAAATGTCGCAGAAAGGGTCGGCAATAGGACGACGAGAGCAAGGGAAGAGTTTTTTGTTTTTCGTTTTTAGCAAGGGAAGTTCCCGAGATGAGAAGAGCGGAAGGTTACCGGCTGAATATAGCTTTGGGCATCGCCACACCACGCTCGAAATTTAAGAAATGGGAATGAACTTCCCGCTAGAACATGGCCAGATGCGCCCGCCACATTTTCGTCTTTTCACATTTCCGAGAGTGATGTGGCGAGGCCCTTTCTCGGTCGTGTGTAGTATCTGTTCTGATCAGATCACCGGCTGAATGCATGGAGATCCCACCAAAAACTGTTGACAGGGGACAGATCTGCCCGACCGGCAGTCGTTTCATGGATATTACTTTGAAGCTGCCAGGATAACGCCGGGTCGAATTGTGAGGTACCGGGCCTGTCTCTTATACACATCTAGATGTGTATAAGAGACAGCATCATAGCCGGTCACGTAGGTGATGGGCGGAAGGGGAGGACCTGGCGGAGCAACGACCGCGAACGTAGTAAGCACGCTCCCCCCGCCGCCGC